AAGAATCTAAAATGAAAAAAAAAGGACAGGAAAGATTGAGGAAAGTTCACTGAATTCCAACTATTGTTAGAAAAAGGTTGAATTCTGAGTTTTTCAAGTAAGAATCATTTGTATGGTGCTATGATTGTTGTATCGGTCAGAGTTACAGAATACTATTCTGTCAGCGTTATAATGACTCTATACTACGACAAAATATGTTTACTTTGTTTACGTTTAAGAATGTTATGAAAATGTCGAATACTGCCAGAAATGCAGAAATATAAATATTTTTATTCGTATATATATATATAAAATCCATTCAAAAATACCACAGTATCTAAAAATCGCTTTGTATACAATATGTAAAGAGAAAAATTCTTCCACCTGCTTATTTTTATACAAGAACATAGTGTTTTTTTATATAAACCTACTTATATATTTTTACATTTGTAGGATAATTTAAGAATATACACACCTGCCTACTTCGATATCAATATTATAGAATATATATAAGAGAGGGGAAAGTATATTAAATTATTTTTTACTAAATTTTATAATAAAATTGAATAAATATACTGTTTTACAATTTTAAAAAAAGTCAGTTTTTATTTTTTTATTTTAAAATAAATATTTGCAGTATATTTTAAAAAAATATATCTTGTGAGAAAAATTGTTTTAAATATTAATTTTTCTTTTTTTATATAGATTTTTTAAATTGTAAATGATTATATTTCGAAAAAACAATTAGAAATTATTATAATTCTCTGTTAAATATTAAATGAGGCAGAATTTTTAAAGTAAATGTTTAAAATCTAAGCAATTTCTAATGTGTAATGTAAATATTTTTATATAAATAAGTTATAGTAGTAAAATTATTTCCTGAAATATATTTATTTTATCTTACCTATAGATTATTTTAAATCTATAAGTAAGATAAAATAAGATTTTAAAAATTTATAATTTATAGGAAATATAATAATTATTTATTTTTCAACATCAATTTTATTTGTTATTTTTTAAAGATAGAATTTCGTTATTATTTAATTCCAAGGCCGTTAGCCAATATAAAGAACAACGGAAAAGTAAATAAATTATTAAAGTATTAATAAAGTTTATGATATAAAATTTTGATATTTTTATAGATTTTTTTGTTACTCGAACAAGAATTAACTTTTATTGTTTTTAATACATAAACAATACAAGATTTGTTCTTTACTTATTGATTTTTTAATAACGTCTTGGCTATCAATTTTGATAATTTTCGAATTTAAAATATATAGTTTAAAAAATTGGAATTTTGATTATAATGGCAAGTGTCCAAATAATTTTTTAAAGTATTTTTTAAAATTAAAGATGAATTAATGAAAAGTTGAGATAAATATTTGAAAGCAGGAGCTCTAAAATAGTTATAGGTTACATAAAATAGCTAAAGTAAAATGTGCTGGAGAATGTTAATACGCAAACTATATGGTCTGCTAGCCCATCGATTTTAAAAATTTCTAAGCTGAAATGACTAGTAGAAAGAGAGAAGCAGACGGCATGCTTCGTTTCATCTCTCGTTTCCTCTAAAGCTAGTGCTTCTCAATGCACTAAGTTCATTCATGCACAACGCGAACCTGACGTTCGAGCATAAAATGTGGATTTCTGCCATCTCTGCACGTGTAACTTGGCCACTTTCTTTTTGGCCAGTCAGATATTGGACGTTAAGAGAGACCCGAGGGTAGAAGTAATCAATATTTTTCTATCGGCATCTGTTTTGTTTTCGTAAACTAAGACAAAAAAAAATTCTCGCATGTTTAATTCTAAAATTTCTTATTGATATGCTAGAATTTTTAATATGCTACTGTATTAAAGAAGGAATTACTCCAGAGATTCAACCTTTTGAGAGATTCGATACGCTGAAGGTAGGTGAAAATACGTTGATGGAAAGTGTAGTAGAAGAAAGAAATTTATAAGAAGGGAAAGAAGAAAAAATCAAAGTTACGAAATGACTAAGTCTTGATGCTGAAAGTCGACACTGCTGTAGTATTGCAGATACTAAGGTCACAGTTCCATTTTCGTTTTTTGTTATTTAAAATGATCATTTTTCTTTCTTCAATTAATGTTTCTTTCAGACGTAGCCAAATGGATTCTAACTTTAACAAACTATTAAAATATTTTCTTTTAAAAAATAATAAATAAATATTAAAAGGAACAGATTTTCTTTCGTGTATTAATAAGATCTTATATTGCAACTGAGAAATTTTCAATTAAGTTACGGATATCATTTTATTAAAATTGAGTAAAGGTTAAAAAAATCTTTTATTATTATATTAATTTGTTTTTCCTTATTTATGACTAATGATTTCTAGAGTTTTATGTTCCAACAACTGTTTCTGTCAGAATGACAGACATATATCAAACTGGGTTACTTTTTCAACTTGGTATTTCTTTCAGAACACATTTGGCCTAGATTGAAATAAGAATAAACAAACATTCTGTTGTCAACCTTATGAAAAGGTTCTTCTTTTAAACTGATTCGTTTTCAATAAAAATTCTTGTTATAATAGAAAAATTTCTTGAATTTTAAAAATAAATTCATAAATTATGTAAGGTAAATATCCGTCTAATTAACTGTAATCGATTTCACAAATTTATTATTGAAACATTTGAAATTATTAATAAACCGATGATCATAAACCATGTAGAGCACGCACCGAAAACTGTTTTCCATCTTCCGATATCGTGACTAATAATAACTGTACGACTTAACTTTGTATAAAATAAGCTTTAAGAAATCCTAAAAGTGTATTACCTTAATAGATGAGGTGGTTTACATCACGTTGAATTTGTATTTTCCTAACCAACCCAATTACGATCATAAGAAATATATCTCGATGATAAATTGTATTTTATATCCATGTTTCACTTCTCCTTCACATCCTGATGTTCTTCTTTGCGGCAATATTTTAGATTAGATTTATATTCAAAATTATTGCAGATAAATTTAACATAGACCAAACAAACACTTGTAATATTTTTTGTGTTATATTCAACATGTGCCAATTCTGTTTCGATGGAGAATTTCAAACATTGTACTAAGTTGCTTGTTTTTGTGATTATCGTAATGGAAGTTATATGATATTTTATTAATCTCTATCAGCAATTTTCAAACCGCATAATTAAAAATATTTGTTAAATTTAAGGTATATTTTAATTATCAAATGATATGTCTGACAAACTGGAATCACAATATTCTGTCATTTCATACTCGTCGCGTACCTAACTTGAATATTGATCGATTAATTTCGAACTTGTGAGTGATTTAGCTGTGTTGATATGTATTCCAATATCCAGGAACATTATTTACGTTTTATTTTTTAATTTAGTTTCGGACAGTTATCCATGGAATAATTAAATCTAATTTCTCCTAAATTGTTGCATCAGAGTGTACTTATAATATTAACACCGACGTATATTTGAAATATTTACATATCTACGAATTTAAGAGTATATTACTAAATGAGGTTTTTATAGTATAGATTCATTTAAATATTTTTGTTTATTGTAATAAACGAATACAAAAATATGTTTTTAAATTTTGTGTTCTATGAAAACAAATAATGTTTTACAAAGGAAAAAATAACACATATTGATAGATCACTTCACATAATTATTCTTTGCTGAATAAACTATTGAAAGAAGAAAGGATTCGGCAATAAACCCCTTCACCAAACCAATCGTTTATTTTCTCTTTTGTTGTGTCGAGTACAATATTTTTATTGGGCACAGTACAGTACGATAGAAAAAAACCATTCTAATTACTGTTCCTGTAACTCACACAGCTAGTTCTACAAACAAGAAATAAGAGCGAATATCCATTGTACTGAAGAAAATCTCCCGAGGTGTGTGTACCAACTTGTCCAGGACAAGAGGTTACGTATTTAGAGAAGAGATAACAACGTTACATTTTTATCCAAGTGGGATAAAGTCAACAACGTCCCTTACATGCAAAAAGAAGTAATGCAGACACTAGGGGATACAAGAGTTAGCATAGCAAATACCTCATCTGGTTTTCCTGTGGGTAGTTAGTTGAATATAGTTGCATATGAAATCTAGTTTGTAAGCACACCTGCGATAAGATATCAAGTACGACGGGACAACTGAGGAATAAGCAGAAGATAGACACGGCGCTTTGATTTCCATTAAAGCTTTTAATGGAACCATTATAGAAGCAACATCTAATGGGTACTCCTGCAAATAAATGCGTTACATCATAGCGCTAGTACATTAAAGCAGAGTCATTGATCGCATGGTTGCTAGATAATGGATTTCTCTGCAATGCCGACAACTATTTAAGAGAACTGCAATGCAAGAGAAAATTTTTACTGTTTAACTTCTTTTCAGATATGCATAACAATAACATTATTTTTGAAACATCAAGAATCTTTCATCCAAAATACTTCTCAGTAGTCCACGGAAACTGCGAGGAAACACAACTTATCATGCGCAGCTACAATCACTTAACCGATTTTTACCTGTTCAGCTGAATGCTTTTAACGATCGACTATCATTTGCACGATGCAAATAATGAACAATTTCTTTTTAAACATCTGTGCGATATTTATCAATTTTTATTATAAAAAATTAATTTATTTTTATTAAAAAAATAATAAACATAATTTCATTACTAACAAATTTACTCATAAATAATTTTTATTTTCAATTTTAGAAGTGTCATTTCTTTATCTGAAAAACATATTTAAAAATATATTTAAAAATAAATAAATGCGTCATTAAAATAACTTATGTTTATTTATTTTTTTCTTTTGTTTTTTTTATATACCAAATTTTTCTTATAACTATTTTTAACCAGATCGAACGTACTTTAATATAATTCAAAGAAAAGATATTTGTCTCTATACCGCTTACTCTTCTTTATTCATTTTATTGTTTGGTTTTTTTCCTCCTATAAATTTAATAGATTCTTATAAGGTTAAATCAAACATTTATAAATTTTAGTATATCTAAATCCAGATAGTAAATATATTTACTTTAAATGCAATGGATACTTATATAAGATAAACAAATGAGACCGTTGTAGATTACTATAATAATGGGAAAGATGCAGTCTCAAAGGAATAGATTGGTACTCATTGTGATGCAAAATTTAAAGTGAAAGAAGCTGAGGGTTGGTCACGAACAGCGAGAAATATAGAGGTGTTCTGATTGGCTCATTCCGGAGAACTCTCGCTACGCTGGGGGAGACATGCGAGTTGAGACAGTGTTGTCAGTGAAGAGAGGACGAGCGAATGCTTTGTGGATATGTGTGTCAGATACTGTGGATATAAGTTTCTACTCTGGATTTTCTTACCATATATCAAAGCCACGTCAGGTAAATAATATTTTTCGTTTATATTTATTTGTAATTTATAAATAATAATTTTTTTATAAATATAATTTAAAAATTAATTAAAAATTTTAAACAAAAATTAATTTTTTATATATGTATCACGTTTTTAAAATATTTAAAATTTTTTTTATTTATTTTGATTATAGATTTGACTATTCCCCAATTTACTACAGAACCTCCAAATATTGTGCATTTTTATAATACTACAGGAACAGTTGTCCCCTGTTCTGGTAAAGGGGTACCTCAACCTTTAGTACATTGGACTAAACAAGATGGTAGTATCGTCCAGGATGTAACTGGTCTCCGACACGTGAGACCTGATGGCACACTTGTTTTCCCGCCATTTCGAAGTGAGAGTTATCGTCAGGATGTTCATGCAAGTATGTACAGGTGCATCATATCAAACACATTGGGGTCTGTGGCTAGTAGAGATGTTACCGTTAGAGCAGGTAAGCATCTAATCATTTTATAATTATATTTTACTTTAGCGGTAATTAAAAAATAGTAAACGTTACGTTGTTTAAAGAATTTTTTATATAAAACGGGGGGAAAGTAAATGAAAACTTCACAAACTCTTAGGAAACTAATATTTCTTTTTGTTCTAAGTTTATTAAAGAAGAGAATTTTCCTTTAGGATATGCATGTGATTCACAAGAACATCTCTTGAAACAAGATACAGCAGTTTGGTCTTTACAGAAAATTGATATTTCATGTATAGACGAAAATTTTTTCCCTAAATTTGCTATTGGGAATCTTCATAAAATTTCAAAGTTTAAATTTTTTTAACGTTCATTCTATTTAAATGACAAGGTTTTATTTTAAAGAAATAATAAGCTGTATAACAGTATCATATAATTAAACTGAGGCAATATATTTATTGTTTTTGTTAAAAAATAAAAATATATATTTATTTTTATAAGTTTTTGTTGATTTATAATATATNTATATATATATATATTGAATAAAAGATTAAAATTCTATTTATGTTATATGTATGTATTTACATAGCAAGTAGATAAAGTTATCTCAGTGAGAAAATGCTTGTATTATAATGGTACAATTTGTATCACAATTTTAAACATCTTATATTGCTTTACATTAAATCAGAAGTAACATCAAAGTCTACATCTGCTTAATTAAAGACTGGTAAAAGCACTTTTAGTAAAATTACTTCTCAGAACGAGCTGGATATTATTAAAGTTAATTATCTTAAAAATTCCAAGTTACTGAGAGTAATATTATTAGATTATAAATATCTGTAATTTCGTAATAAATTTAAAATTTTTATTATATAAATTATAATTTTCTTATATTTAATAAAGCCTATTTGAATTATTCTCTTTAGGAATTCCTTTGTTTTAATATTGAAATTCACAGATTAGTTAGCAAACGTAATGATGAAATTTTAAACTTTAATATAAAAGAACTTTTAAATATAATTATTGGAAAATCTAGCTTGGATATTTTGAAAATTTTTTAAAGTTTTTTCTATTTTATTTTATGCAATTATGTAAAACGTATCAGTTTTCTCCTTAAGGACAGAGTTTAATAACGCCATTAGAAATATATATCTGAAGATCTTTAAAAAGTTTTTTATATATATTTTTATAAGAAAACTTTATAAAGTGACCGTAAAACCGAACATGAATATCTTAGAACTCATCTTAAATGATCTCTATCTCAGCTAAGCGTTTCTGTACTTGAATGATTTCTCATTATTGTTAGTAGACCTATCACCCTTGTCAAGATGACAAAGATTTACTGACGACACAAAAAGCCATTCCTTGTCCAATGAAACTAGGAGCATAGATATTCATTATTACTCCTCACGTACGTCACTTTTTTGTTAAAGAAGTTATATTGGCTCAACACCGTTTATCCTTTGATGCTCAACAGTCATTTCCTAACTTATATAGGTTTTACCTTGTTTCCTATTTACGATCAATTTTATAGTCGCTTTCTCTCATTTTACTTTCTTTCTAATTCTTTTCATGTCTTTGTTCTTGCTTTACTTTTATAATATTAGGAACCATTTAAAAGCATGAATTAATTATTAATGATTTTAAAGTCTATTACAGAGCTGAAATCTTCTATTATACTTAGAAGCATAGTACAAGAAATTTTTTGTTTTTTTTTTAAAGATGCAACATTTTAGAAGTCTCTTGAAGCAGAAGTATGGCCGTTTCTAGATAAATAACGAGAAAAACAAAATAAGAAAAAGTTAAACTTCAAATTCTGTTTTTTAAGATGTAAAATAATAGGTTCAAGTTTATTTATTGAGATAAAGAATGTAGATATACTTTCTACTCTGGGGATATAACCTGTTGCCATTGGCAGTAAATCGTTTCGTTTAAACCTGTGATCTTCTTATAGAAAATCTTTTCAGAAAACGTGAAGACCATTTTTCTAGGAAAGTAGAATAAAAATATAGAAAACGTCAGAAAACAATTCATCCTTTATAATCTATTAATTATATCCAACAAGTAAACTACTCTTTGTATGCTAATGAAGATAGACTAGTCTCAAATGATAAATTAATCCTTTCATTTTTATAATAATATTAATTTAGTTAATTTTACATAGATTTATACATGAATAACTAATAATACGTGAGCATGTATATGACCTACATTATTCAAATTAATTATTACATTTACTATACAACGTTCTCTTTAATTATTAACTTAATTTCTTAAACAAATATTTTTCCTAAAATTTAATTCTACGAAAATTTTATTTGCGAAAACAAAGTTTTAATTTTTGCATTCCAATAAGAAAAAATATGCAAGAAAATATTTTAAAGAAGATGGTTCCGCTTTCTTATTTCTTACATTACTCTGTTTGTAAGATGATTGTAAAAGTGAAAGTAAATGGCCCACTAATTTCGTCGTGCTAAGCCACGTGTACACCGATCTTTTCAGAGAAGCGAAAGTTCGTAGTAATTATAGTGTATGAAGGACATAGTGCGGCAGCTTTCCTCCCGTAAAAGGGTTTGCAGTAGAGCTCTAGATATGAGAAAGTGGGATGACACAAGCTTGGAATTTCCAAGTCTATCTCCATGGAAATGCATTCCTAGAAGAACCGCATTTAATTTCGTTATCGGTTCGCATTCATTCTATACTTCACCAGCTGCCATTCTGAAGAGAATTATATTTCTCTTTACGGATGAACTGTACAATAATAGGCGAAGTTTCCTCACCAGGTATTACAGATGGTTGTTTTTGAAAGAGGAAAAGAAATCTTTAAAATCAAGTGAATGCGCCAAATTATCATACGCAAGTTAAAGCTTTTAAAACGGAATAAAATAGGAATTGAAGTTTGTAAAAAATAGCCATTTCTTCATTTCTAATCCAGGAAAGAAAACAACATTGTTTTGGCGTTATTTTTTTATACATGAAATATGGATAGCCACATAATATTATGCAGAAAAAATAGCCTGTTATACGTAAAAAATAATTTTGTTTATTGTTTTGATATTTAACTATATTTTTATATAAAGTCGTTTATATTTTGTACGTTTATTTATACTATACTATAATCTTATAAATATNTGTGTTTCAGTATTTGTTTTAGTACTGATTTGTCTGTAGAAAAGTTTTTCGTTGTTTGCGAATAATTTATTTTGTTGTTTTCGTAATGTACATGTTTTGTATCGTTTGATCTACGTGCTTTAGCTGTGAGTTTTTGTTTTAGTGTATCGATGTATTCTGTAATGTGTGTGTATATATATATATAAACAAATCACATACGCCGCACACTGAATATATATATAGGCCTTACCTTGTCTTATCAATATTTAAAATAAAGATAAAAATTTCATCTCTAAAATCATACAAAGTTTATGTAAAATATTATTTGCAATCTATATTGTCAATTTTTTTTATTTCTGTTTTATTTTTTATTCTTAATAATAAGATGTTTTTGCCATATCTTCACGAATCTGACTTAATATAAATATATGCAAAAAAATATATACATGTATTTAAAATATTCATGTAGGATTTATTATCGTTTCATTTTTACTTGGAGATTAGTTATATAAATTCATTAGTTTGCAACAAATCAGAATTATATAAAGACGATGACAATGTTTATAAAGATTTGTTTTATTACTATTTTATCCATATTTAATGTATACATGTTGATGTTATGTTATGGATTATTATCCCGGTAGAGAACAACGCGAGTTTCATCAGGATGCTGACACCACTTGAGTTGCTCTCTCAGGAACGTTAGTTTTTTTTATCATATGTACTTTGGAATGGCAAAATCGTTACTCCAGTTAAAATGAGGAGACTCGTTCATTTATATAATATGACGAAATATTATTTAACTATACGATCGAACGTACAACATTCGATGCGCAAAATGACACACAACATATTATACGATAGAACGATTTTAAGGTTACAGGTGCTTCTTCATTGAGAATATTTACTTCGTTCTGACGTCCGTTCGCTTTTTGTACAGTTTCATTTTAGTCATACAGATTTTTTTTAGTCACCACACGCAGATCAGTATTTTACTGCTTTCGAGTGCGTATTGTGAAAAAATAAACTTTGGTTTTGATGTCCAAAGACGAAGTATTAGACTTTTTTGGTTTCCTTCTTTGGTCTCGTACGTACTACTTTTGTATGATCCTTTGGTCTCTATATTTAAGATTTATTGATAAATAATTGTCTAAATCCATTGAAATCTGAACCTATTGTAACTAGAACTGTTGATTTTTCATGTCTACGATTAAATTATTTCTTATCGTACGTCTTTTTTTTATTTTGATTTTGAGAGAAAATAATTAATTAATTTATTTATTTATCAAGTTCTTTCTGGATACTCATACTTATCAGCAAAGCCATCAAACAATTATTAGACCCTGAAGATACAGAATAACTTTTGCTATTGTTCCAGCTGATTCCTAAACGTATCACTTCAACAATTCATTCTATAAATAATTTACATTTATATGTTATATAATAATTTATTTATAGGTAATTATATAATATTAAAGCTATTGATAGATGTTTTTCTTTAATTAGAATAAACTAAAAATAAAATTTCAAAAGTTATGAAACGAATTTTTCTGTAAAAAAAATTAAGCTAATTATTGATTATCATTCATGTAAATTTATTAAAATATTAATCAAAATTAATAAATCTTTCACAAATTAAATAATTCTTTATTATATGATTTGTTTATTTTCACGTTTTTACCGAAAACAGTTTTAATTAAAACTAACCAATAATTAAAAAATAAAAACAACTGACTTAAATTTAATTAAAGTTTAATTACTTAACGATAAAAAATTTTTCAAAAAATATAAACTATTCGTACATATCAATATCAATAAACATGTACGCGAAATTTAGTCATGAAAATAAGTCAGTCATTTGAATAACCATTTTAATTAACGTATAATTAACTTTGAGGAATATTTACAAGTTAGCTACT